GAATAGAATAAAGCAATACGAGGTAATAATGGTATGCGGAATAAAGGTAGAGTATTAATGTTAACAGTTTTTTCTTATATTAAATAATTTATGGAATAAAAATTTGGAGATGATATTAAAAGTATCTTTAAGTATGTGTATTTAGAGATCATTTGTTAATTAGATTTATTTTGAATAGATTTTGTATTTTAGATTTGATTAATGGAAGTTAATTATGTATTATGAAAATTGTTTTTATATATGGTAATAAGAAGACAAAGTTATAGAAATTTGAAAAATCTTTGTTTTTAATTAGTGACTTTTATAGAATTTATTCCTAGTATGATTTATAAGAAAGATCAAGACATATTAATGTATAATGTATTAAAGTTCTTGAGATAATTAATTAAATCATATAAGTTTTTATGAATAATTTTAATATTTAAATAATGGAAAATTTTAGTAATAAAGTTAAGAATTGTTTGGATTTATTTAGATATTTGATTATGAGTTTTTAAATTGTTATATCATCAGGTGATATTGGCACACACGTTATACTTGACGATAAAAGATATGAAATTGAACAATTGAGATATTGACTTTAGTAATAATTATTTGGAGAGTTAACAATCGACACTAAAGGTGAGACACACACATTACTTATAATAATGGACCTGTCAAAGAAGAACACCATATAAGTTGGTATGATAAATTGATGTATGTATAACATCAAAGGTTAATTAATAGGATAGTATTACTTGATTGTATTTAATTGATTAAAACTGGAATTCTAACAGAGAAGGAGACTGTGGTTGCACTGTAACATGGAGCACACACGGGTGTGCTACCAGACTCTTAAAGTAATATACCAACGGTTCATTGGCTGTAAATTAGCACACGGGCGTGGTCCTGAACTCCCGCATGACGAGTCAGGCAGCGGGCCATAGCTTGTAAGTGTCAAGCACGACGCATTGCCACTGAGTTTCCAGAGAGTAGCACAACGGCTGCGTGGCCCTTGAGTTTCCTCAAAGAGAAGTCACGACGCGTGGGCCTCTACTCCTTAAGATAACATATCAACTATTCGCTACGGAGGTTCCTGTGGTATCAATGATGAGGTCGTATTTCAGAGTATTTTTATTCTTGGGCATCAAATTTATTGATTAGAAGCTTATGTATTTAAAGTATTTACCCAAGAGGTGTAATCGATTAAACCTGCCCATTAATCTACAGTTTGTTCTATTTTCTTGTTTTGAAAATCTCATCTTAAGTTTTTTTTCCAAAGTGTTAACCGTATGATGAGTATAGATTGTCATATGCTGCGATTTTCTATCTAAACATCGTTCGCTATTGGCACTGGGTTGATTAAGTTTCAAATGGATTGTAATTCTATTGCTGGATTGGTTTGAACATAAATTCCCATTATCTCAGTTAGGCTAGTTCTAGACCTTGGATCCTATAGCATTAGTGCTCTTGAAAAAGCCAGCAGCCATCGCAATAGAGACCAGTGTATAGTATAGTTGACAAGTCATCGATAATGAGCCGGCTTGGGAGCTGTCTAACAGGCTGCAGCTTCGAAGCTTAAGAGGATGTGACAACTGTGCTGAAAATTTAGAGACATTTATTCAATGCCCAAAATGAACGATGCTAGAGAGTACATGTGTTAAAGATTAATGACATACTTCAATCCGGATATGACTGACAAATTCCAAGTAGGGTCCGCCTTAATTGGAGTGTAGGCTAACACGACAAATAAAGTTTGAATTTGGTTCACAAATTCCATTCATTGATCATGAATCGT